TGAATTCTTTCCAAATGGCAAATCTGTGAGCAAAATAAATGTTACTGTTTTATGCCACTAAATTTGGGTAATGTACACAGCATAGTAACCAGAACAGTATGGAGGTACGAAAATGTCACCAACCATACCCCTGCGGATGGGCCATCGCTTTGCAACTTTTCCCACCACATTTTTTTCTAAAAGCAAGAATCCCAAGATTGGGATCATAGAGTCCAAAAGCATATGCATTTTAATTTTACTGGGGCTTGTCAAATTGCTTTCCAAAAAGGCTATAACTGATCTTACCTTTGTTAACAGTGTTTGGATGAATCCTTTTCCTCATATCCCTGAAAGCCAGGGTTGGTGTAGCTCTTTTTAACATTTGCTAATCTACTAAATATAAAATGACTTACCTCACTGTTACTCTTTTATTTAAAAAAAAATCCTTTCTTTTTTAGAGAAGTCTTAGGTTCATAGCAAAATTGAGCAGACAGTACAGAAAATACATCACAAACTGAGTATGTCTCTATAGGTTTCATGTCTTTTAATAAGATTTTATAGGCTTCCCACCTAGTACAGTTCTATACTTTTCTTAATAAATGTATTCCTAAATATTTTATAATTTTGTTATTGTTAACTGAATATTTTTCTTGTTTCTATTTATTTCTAGGGGCTTATTTGTATAAATGCTATTATTTTAAATATATTTTTCTTATATTTATCACCTTAACATTTCCTTCTATTTACTGCAGTAGTTTTCAAGGAAGTCCTTTGGATTTTCTAGATTTACGATCATGGTATTAACTAAAGAGATAGTGTAATCTCTTTCCTTCCAGTATTTACAACAGCTCATTTTCTTGCCTTACTACTTTTGCTAGAACTCTAAGCCAATGTGTAATGATACTAGTGTTGGTGCCAACCCTGTCTAGTTCCTAATTTAAAAAAAATAGTATCTGATGTATTTTGACTTATGATTATTTCGTATTTCATATATTTTTCATAAATTGTGCCTCCTTTATATAATGGTCCTTTTTATTTTGCTCAATGACTATCACCTTTAATTCTACCCTCTCTGATGTCATGTGGCTTCTCCTGCTCTCTTCTAGTTTGTACTGGTCTGATCTCACTCTCTGTCCACTCTTTTATTTTCAGCCTTTTCTTGTGTTTTCAAGTGTCTTTCTCATAAATAGTGTGTGGCTGGGTTTTGTCTTTCTAATACAGTCTCTGGGTCTTTAATGGGGGTTCGGGTGTCCTTATTTAGCGTGACAAAGATGTTTGACTCGACTCATTCCATAATTACTCTGTTTGTTATTTTTTACTTTGTGGTTTTATCTTTTTATTCATTTGAACTATATGAAACTACCATTTCTGCAGGTCAAAACAGTTGAATACTAGCAATTTCATACAGCCAACTTACTACTTTCCTTTTTCTCTCTCCCTTCTTTAAGAATATGCCATTCATTTAATTTTCCCCCTCGGTAATTTGGAAATTATACTACTTTTCCATTCCATCAGTGGCTGCCTTCCCTCTCTAGGCATGGGGAGTGTCCCTTGGCTTGGCACAGGAGGGAGGCAAATAACGTGCCTGTATTAAGGGGGCAAGTTTGAGACCAGCTGGCTCTTCTTCCTTGGTAGGTAACTTGTCTTATCCATCCGGGAGCTTGTACAGTGTTCTCTTTCTCCTTGGAGTTTCAGAATTTTACTACAGTGTTTCCCTTTTATACTGCCTGGGTCAATACCTCCCATATGCAAACATGTCAGGAAAGTTTTCATGTCAGGAAAGTTTTCGTCTGTAATTTTTGTTTGGTGCCTCTAGTCCATCCATCCCTTTAACTTCTGTGACTTCTGTTGTTTGTATATCAGGATTCCTGAATTTAGCCTCCAGATCTCTGGTCTGTTTCCTCATGCCTTTGAGCTCTGTTCCCCTTTTCACTGAGCTCTAAGCTATTTCTTCCATTCAACCCAAGCACCTTCTTCATAGTCTTCTAACAAGCCAAACTTGTTCTTTCCTCGGGTTCTTTGTACTTGCTATGCTTTCTGCCAGGAATGGCTTCTCTTAGGTCTTTCCCTATTCAGCCATGCCTTTGGGTTGATCTTAGCTCAGATGTCCCCTTCTCAGATCTGCCTTTCCTGCTGCCTTGGACATAAACACCATACTCTGTATGTCATCTTACTGCCTTTTCTCCACGGTATTGAGGTCACCCACAGTAAGTTATTTTTTCTTTCACTGTCTGTCGTATCCATCATTCACCTGCCTCCCATACACACTCCACACTGGAGGGTAGGGCCTCTGTAAATCATTTGAATTCTTGCTGTGTCCATTCTTGCCATGTACCCAGTGTCTAGCCCAGGTCAGCCCTTGGTAAGCACTTATGGAAGTAATGGAGTAGTGAATTAAAGCTGGGGCTGCCCCAGGGAGACCCTGCCCTGTCCAGCCTCCACCCCTACTCATGAGCACTGGACCCGGAGACTGTGTGGGCAGAAGAAGGTGGGGCAGTGCCCGTCTGCGAGGGCCTGAATGACTGGTGCATGTTGGGCTTTTTCTTCTGTAGCTACAATAGCCACCGCAGGTCCTAAAGCCACAGGCAGGGAATAGGAGCAGGAGTTGGGCTGGGTGCAATCCCACTGGGTGTGGGGGGCCTTCGGTCTGACCCAGGGCTAGCCTTGATCTGGGGTACACTCACCCTACCCCAGCCTCCCACTGCTGCATTTACTTTTTTTCCATAGCACTTACCACTTAACACCACATGGCATTATTTTTATTTAGTCAGTCAACAGGTATTTCTGGAGCTTACTTGGTATTTGAGGTGCTCAGGATACATCCATGAGCAACACAGAGATTTTTACCCCACGAGCTCTTATTCTAGTGGAGGATGCCAGACAATGCCATATAAAGATGATAAATACCTACGTTAAAAATATGTGTGAGAAGGTGGTAACTGCTACGGTAAAAGTAGAGCAGGGTAAGAGACAAAGGTGATCTTTGAATGCTAGGGGCAGAAGGGTGTATGTTGCATTCTGAAATGAGGAGCCCTGAAGGCTTTGGGGTCATTCCTGCAGAAATTTGTGGAAAGGCACCAGGAACAACAGAAGCCCAGTCCCTGAGCCATGAGAGTGCACAGAGTGTGATATATGAGAAACTTTGGGAGGCTGAGCAGTGTGCTGGAGGCAAACAAAGGCAATCATAGAGCTAATGGGGAAAAGCGGAGCCCCTGCCAGCTTTGGCTTTCTTTGGGGGGAGGTGCTACTGCAGGGTTCTGAGCAGGGATGAGGGGTTCTGACTTATGTTTCCTTATGCTGATGTGTGGAGAATGGCCTGAAGGTGGCAAAGGTAGCAGTAAGAGACTGGGATGTGGCTGTACCTTGTCCTGGGGAGAGATGGTGGTGGTTTGGACTAGGTGGAAGCCATAGACCGGGCAAGAAGTGGTCTCATTCTGGGCAGATGATGCAAGTAAACAACAGGACTTCCTGATGCACTGAATGTAAGTGGGAAAGAAAGTAGTCAAGAGGTGCTCGGAGGTATTTGGCCTGAGCAATAGGAAGGACTGAGCAGCCATCTCTTGAACTGGGGGAGATGGAGTGGAGTGGGTTTGGGGGATGAGCCAGAACTAGGATGGCAGATGTTGAGTGTGAGATGCCAAGTGGAAGTCAGATGTCAGTGCCTAGTCAACAGCTGGACATTGAGTCTGGCACTGAGGAAAAGTCTAGCTGGACATACACCTTTGGGAGTGATTGACATGTAGGTGGAATTTGAGGCCATGAACCTGGGAAAGATTATGAGAGAGTGTGTAGACAGAGTAAAGATGAACAGGAGGAACCAGTGAGGCCAGGGGAAACCAGGAGGGCATGGAGCTCTGGAATCCACACAGGGAAGATGCTTCCAAGAGAAGAGAGATCAGCTGGTCACAGAAAGTCTTTCCTGCTTACCCTTAAACAGGCAGGCTTTTTTTTTTTTTTCTTACTGTTTTTGTTCACTGCTGTATTTCCAGCATGGAGCGTAGGTGCCCCATAAGTACTTGTTGAATGAATGAGTATATGCATGAATCCACACCTCTGCAAACTCCCAGCACACAGGGGTTTCTTTACAGAAAGAGCAGAGAACAGCACCCACTCTGCCCACTCTCAGGAGCATCCCCTACTCCCTTGCCTTTGCCAGCTACATTGACATTCACTCACGTGGGAGCCCCTCTGGCCAACGCAGGGCTCAGGACAAATGAGCCTCAGACAAGTCCTGTAGTGTGGAGCTTGGTGGGACCTCGGTTGGGCACTGGGACACCCACCAGTCCACAAAGGACTCTACAACCATTCCTCTGTCCACCCCTCTATATATAGTCATTTGTCCATCTAGCTACACCCAGTCATTTGTCCACCTGTGCATATAACCACCACTTTATCCACCGTCTCCATCCACTCTTTTGTCCATCCACATCCAGCCCTCTGTCCTTCCATCTGCTAGGGTGACCACCTCCCCAGTTTGCTGCATACTGTCCCAATGTCAACACTGAAAGTCCTGAAATCCTGGGAAACCCCCTGGACCCAGGAAAAATGGTACAATTGGCTGATTCATCTGTCCGATCCCCTCCAAACCCAGCATCCCGCATTGCACCCATCAGCTCAAAGCCCATCTGTCCACCCAACCTGACCTTCTTGGCTACCTTCTTGGCTACCTTCTCCCGTGGAGGCTGACAAGGCTCCACCCCTCTCTCGCCCCGCCCCCACTCCCCGCCCCTTCCGGAAGCCAGCACAACGAATCCCGGCACCCTAGCAACAGCGCTTTTTGGGCGGTCCAGTCCGGGAGCAGGGCTCTCGGTGCGAGCCAATAGTGAGGGGCTCCGGGAGTGAGGCGCGGGGGGCGGGGCTCGGCGCGGCCGCCGCCATCTTGGTGCGAGAGAAACAATAGGACGGAAGCACCGCGGGACCCGGCTGAGGCAGCAGGTAACGCCCGCTTTGCCCGGCCTGTGGCCCTGCCTGCGGCCCTGCCACCCTGGGGACTTTAGAGGATGGTTTCCCTGGGCATTTGGGGGAAGAGGTTTTTTGTCATTAGCGGTGTCCCTGGGCTATTTGGGTTATTTGGGGAGGGGCTCTCCCGCGATCATGGGGGTGGGAGAGATGTTAGGGTGGGCCAGATTTCTTCGGGTCATCATTTGAGAGAGGCATTATGTCTTCAGGTTACTGGGGAGAGAAGAGCTCTACTGGGTTTGAGGGGCAGAGTCTTCTCTGGTCATTGGGGGTTCCCCGGATATTTTGGGGGTGCGGTATCTCCCCCTGTCATTGAAGTCTCCTCAGGTCTTTGGAGGGAAGGCAAAATCTCTCGGGTCATTGAGGGGTCTCTCCAGAACATTGGCGTCCACGATCTCCTGGGTCATTGAGGGGCGTCTCCTTGAATGTTCGGTTGGAGAAGTCAGCCCAACGCCTCAGGTACAGTTACCTGCGGCCGGCAGATGTGCAGCCATTTTGAGTGTTGAATGCCAGTTGGGTTTGTCAGCTGGTGGGGAAATCTGCCCACCTAGCCTTATTGTGTCTAAAGGCCTAAAATGGATCCGAGAACGTCTTTATAGCGATAAGCTTCACCGTAGGTGGAGCTTTCATTTCTTTCACATTTGATTACAGACTGCTTTTTGTCTTTTTCATCCTAATGATTTATTCTTGGATTTTATTCAGTTTCATACAGTAAAACTGAATTGCAGAAAAGTGAATCCAGACGTTGTGAAAATAAAATGTAGAAGCCAGTAAAATCTTAATAAATACCAGGGGAAATAA